TCCTGGGGAGGCCCAGGCCCAGCTGGGCTCCTGTAGCACCTGGCCTGATAGGTCCTCTCCTTTGAATTACTACTCCCCGTGGTTCTAGCTCTTTCCCTGTAGAATTGCCCCTTCTGTCCCCTCTGCCGCGCATGCTCAACCCTGTCTTGCATTTTCCATTTCCAGGCAGATTATAAATATTTACTGTTTCCTTCCCTGTTCTGCCCTCATCCTGTGGATGTAGCTGAGCCAGCCTGGTGGAGCCTTCCAGAGTTCATCTCATCCATCCTCTGGGTCTAAGCTGGCATGTGACAAAGCCACCCTAGCACATGAGAGACTATCCTACACCAGGGCTTAGCACATGTGCCTGGTGTTCAGTCAATGCTGGATGATGGGAGGGAGCAGGGAAGGAAAGGATTCCACACATTTCCTGCAGATCCCACCTGCCTCTCCCCCTGGCAATTCTTCTCATCCTCTGTTCTCTTACCCACAGTGGGCTGTAGGTAAGGCCCACTTTCTCTTGGAGAGACTTCAGTAGAGCTAAGTCACTCTCCTCACTCAAGAATTTGGACAAACTTGTTCTACCTGGGTCAGTCCCTGCCCTGAGTCTTCGTACCAGATACTGCCAGGCAGACCCGGGTTTCTAATTATCTTAGAAACATATCCTTCCTTTTGGAACCTCTCTCTATCCCCTGAGACTTTCATGTATACTGTAAAACCTTGTGGATGGAAAGGGACTATGTAATTCAATGGCTTAGTATTTATTTCTTCTGGGTAGCAACCATTCCAAAACTTAGTAGCATTAAACAGCAACCCACACACTTGCTCACCACTCTGCAAATTCAGGCAAAGTATGGCTTCTCCCTAGTTTACATACTGTTGGCAAGAGTTACTGACCAGGGACCGGAGAATCCCAGTTCCCAAAGACTTCACTTGCATGTGTGAAGCCTCAGCTTGGGGTGGTTAAAACAGCTGGAAGCTGCCTGAGACTTTCTCCCTGACCCCCTATCCTACCCTACAGCAGGGTAGTTGAACTTCCTGATAGTATGGCAGCTGCCTTCAGAGAGGGCAAAAAATACAAGCTACAACGCCCCCTATGGCCTAGGATTGAAAGTCCCAGAACCTCTCTTCTGCCACATTCTTCATCGAAGCAAATCACAGGCCAGCTCAAATTCAAAAAGGAGGAAAAACAGAACTTATTTTCCATCAGGAGGAGCAGCACTTGGGCACAGGGATGGGAAGAACTGTTGGCAGCCATATTTGCACATGAGCCGCCTCAGTGGTCCTAACACAGGAAACAGACCCAGAACCACCAAGTTCCACAGAGATCCATCCCCCTCTTGCAGGAGGAGCTGTGGGAGGGAGGCAAGTAGGCAGGCAGGTTCCCTGGAGAAGTAGCAACTTTAAGGACCTTTGAGGGCCTTGAGCAGGATGGCAAAGAGAAAGGGTCCCAGGCTGAGCAGAGCAGAGTTGAAGGCGGAGGAGGACTTGGATCTCAGTTATGTCTTCTCTGGGCGTTGAGTGATCCTTGGGAAGGTTCCAGGGGGCGTCTGCCCAGGTCTTCCATAATTGGGGGAGGTAGCATTTTCCTTTTCTCCTCCTTTTCTCCCTGGTCTATTTCAAGACTGTGTCTCTCATCCAAGCCTGCATGTTGCAATCTCTAGCGTGCTTAGGTTTCCGATCTTCCACTGACAAGCCCCAGCCCCTGGAGACATCTCTTGCCTTGCCTTACTTTACCATGCATGGGGAAGTTGGATTTCAGCTCTAGGTTTGGCCACCACTAAATCCTCCCCCTGTCCCACTTTTCTCCTGCCTGTTTGTATTCAGTCTAGACAATTCATTTTTATTTGTTGATTGTCCTGCCCTAGCCTGGGGCAGCTGTGGTGTTGGTGGAAAGAGAGCACTAGAATCGGAGTCAGGAAAGCTGGTTTAAATTCTGGCTGGACGGTTTACTGGTTGTGCTTGTTATTCATCCTCTCTGGGCCTCCTGCTTCGCATCTGCCCAGCAATTATAATGAGCCCCCCTCTCCAAGGTGGCTAAAACGGGACAGTACCTAGTACTGACAAACCGTCCTCTGCTCCCAACCCAACCAGCTGGCTCTATGCACTTCTGGTCATCAGGACTCTTCTTGACCCACAAGTCCACTACTGATCGCTCCTGGTATCTGCAGAAATCCTGTGCCATCTCCATAGTTTTGAGATGGAACCCTCAGCCTCCAGGCCTCAGTTTCAACAATGTCATGCATTTAACAAATGTTTGTGAAGCGTACACTATTCCAGGCATTGTTCTAGAAGTTGGAGAAACAGTGAATAAGGTCAACAAAACTTCTTCCCTCACAGAACTTGCTTTCTAGTGGAGACAGAAGAGACAGAAATTTATTTATTTATTTTTTAATAAGACAGTGTGGATTTTTTAACCTTTGTTTTATTTATTTATATGCAGTGCTGAGAAGTGAACCCAGTGCCTCACACAAGCTAGGCAAGCGATCTGTGACTGAGCCACTACCCCAGCACCCCTCCCCCCGCAAAGAAAATTTTAAAGCTATGCTGTTCAAAATGGTAGCTGCTAGCCATGCATGTATACCAAATTCTTGACACCTGCCCACAGCTAATTATAATATATGGTAGGTGCAAAATACACASAGATTCAAAAATTACTGAAGAAAATTAAAACCTCTCATTAATAATTTTTATATAGATTAAATGTTGAAGTGATATCTTAGATAGGTTTGGGTTTAAAAAACCCCATTACTTTACCTGATTCATTTTCCCTTTAAAAATCTGACCCTTTAGAAAAATCTAAATTACATATGTATGGACTAAGGATAAGACTCAGTGATAGAACTCGTATTTAGCATGTGCAAAGCCCCAGGTTCAATGCTCAGCACTGTGAAAAAAACAAATAAAATACATGTGTAGCCTACATTCTACTGCTATTGGCCRGCACTGTCCTAGAGTAGGCTAGAAGGTGGCATTGCTATGGGGAAAATGAAGGGGTTGTAAAAAAGAGGGGGCCCGCATGCAGAACTAGAAGGGGTGAACTGTAAATGCAGTGTTCAAGGTGAGGCAGACTGCGGTCAAGGTGAGCCAGACTGAGAAGCTAAGGAGACTTGAAGGCCAGGAAGCCGCACATGCCATGAGTGGAAAGGGTTGGGCCAGGAGAGGGAAGCTGTTGTAAAGACAGAGGAGGGAGCATGCCCACTGTGTCTGAGGACACAGAAACCCATGTAGCAGGACCCAAATGACCAAGGTAGGTCTGAAGTCACTGAGTAGGCRGGAGGTAGCGGCCGTAGGACAGTGCAGGGTCTTTTGAGGGCATTTGACTTTTTCTCTTGAGTAAAACAGAATCTCTGGAGGGTTTTGAGCCCAAAAGTGACATGACTTAACTCCTATTTGAACAAGCTCACTCTGACTGCTGTGTGAGAATTAATCAAAGGCAGGCCAGAGGAGAACCCGAGAGCCAGTTTTAAGGTTCCAGCAAAAGTCCCAGTGGGATGACAAGGGCACATGGCTCACGGGACCTCGTGCAGATTTAGCATCAATTTGGTGGTACAGGACCCGGAAAGGCGGCTTCCTGGAGCACGGCCGCCCGTGGAGGGGGGGGACCTCACCTCCCGCCTTCTTCCCACGTGGACTCAACTCTGAGCACACTGCCAGTCACCTGCACACCTCACCGCCCTCAGGGGATCTCCCAAGAGGACAGCAACAACCTCCCCCTGGCCTCTCTGCCTTCCAAGCTGTTGCCAGGCACCACCAGAAAGCATCTCTAGCCAGGCACGTGGTGGTGCATGCCCACAATCCCAGCAGCTCAGGACGCTGAGGCAAGAGGATTGTGAGTTCAAGGCCAGCCTCAGCCAAAGCGAAGCACTAAGCAACTCAGTGAGACCCTGACTCTAAATAAAATACAAAATAGGGCTGGGGATGTGGCTCAGTGGTCAAATGTCCCTGAGTTCAATCCCCGGTACCCATCCCCACTCCCCCTAAAAAAGCATCTCCAGCTGGGATGCTCCATTTAAAACCCTTTAAACTCCGTTCCTCCCTGACAGTCCTCTTGGCAGGGTGCTACAGGCTAAACTAGCCCCTGCCCATCTCTCCAGCCTCCACCCCACAGCCACTCCTAGCCTGAGTCCCACCTCCAGGCCTTTGCTCCTGGATGCCCTCCACCTACTCCTCCCTGTTCTCTGGCTTCTAACGGTCCTTTAAGGGGTAGCCTAGGTCATGCCATGGGAAGACACCCCTTATCCCAATCCACCACCCACAAGCTAGATGAGGTGCCCCATCACATTCGATGAATCGTCCACAGCTTTATAGCTGTCTCCCCACACACCAACCCTTGCTAGATCTTGGAGTATAAATATCTGATGCATACAGCATCAAATTGGCCCAATATTTAACCAAACCATTGTGGTTTCAAAGAATAAATGAGAGGTTCAGGAAGTGGATCTGGGAGCACTGTTCAGCAATGCCAAAGACCCAGGCAGGTCTCCCCTTCCCCAGGACCAGGACACGRGGGAAGCGCTTATGCAGTAAGGGAAGAAAAGGAGTCCCCACAGTGTCAACCAGCGCTCCAGAGATCTTTCTGAGGGTCAGAAAACTCCAAGACATGTTACGTAAAACTAAATTAAAGAAATTATACCCTTCTCGCTCCCAGCAGGCTATAGACAACAAGACCCCGCAGCCAAACACGGCCCATTCCTGTCTCCAGTGCAGCCGGGTGGAGACAACCAGTTCCTTTCTTGACCGGGGCCAGGGGCCTGGAGGAGCTCTTTTCATTGCAAGGGAGTTGAGCCCCCTCCACCCGTTCCCAGAGCTCCCCACAAGACAGCAGGTGGACCTCCAGGGCCAGCCCAGCCAGAAAGCAAGACTCTGGCCCCCAGCACAGGACATGGGTTTCCCCATATGGTACATCCCAGTGACCCCTTTCCTTAAGACAGACGCCGCCGTGTTCCCCAAGGGAGGAGGGTGGGAGGAAGTCTGAACAAGGATTCAATGGAGAAGGAGAGACCAAGAGGAGCTTTGAGATCAGAATTAAATTCTTTAATACAAAATGCTTTTTTTTTTAAGATATATCTGTATTTCTTTGTTGTTGTTTAAAAATAAATATGTACTACGGAATATCTCGAAAAACTGCACTAGAGACAAAGACGTGATGTTAATATCTTTTTCCCCCACAATTATTACGGATAAACAGTAGCACCAATAAATAAATGATAACAAATATTAAAATTAAAAAAGGAGAGAGATTTAGTATGTAGAATTCTCTATTTTTTCTTGTTTTGTTTTTACATATAAAAAACAGAATAGCAATGTCTATTTTATCAGAATCACATATATACATAAACATATATATATATATATATATATATATATATACACACAAACACAAGTTGCCAAATATATATATAGTATGTAAATGTATATTGAAACCTTATTTCAAAGGAATGTGTGGTAGGGAACTAGGGCACAGGGGAGGGCAGGACTGTGTTAGCAAAATTAAATATCTGTTCAGGACAAGCTAGTGACTGTCACCGATCAGGGAGAGAGATTGGAAACATGGATTTTACACACAAAAACCAATACAAAAAGAGCGAGAGAAAGAGCAAGAGATACATCTCATAAATAGTTGAAATTAAATATTATCCAAGAATACTGAAAAAAAAACCCTACTCTTTTAATTAAATTAACTGTTTTAATTTCTAATTAAAAAGGGATATTAAATAAGTACCGTATATAAAAGACTTTCTCTTTCTCTGCCTCAGTGGTGGGCATGTGGATCCTGCCTGGTCTCTCTTAGCCTCAGGAAGGGACAGGTCAGGGGACAGGGGAAAGATTAACCACTCACACACACACACACACACACACACACACACACACACACACAGCCAGGTCTCCTGGGGACAGAACTAGTGGTTTCAATGGTCTGAGGACCTGAGGTCCTCGGCTGCACCCCGGGATGTGGGGTGAGGAGAGGAGAAGGGGAATCCCAGGAGGAGGAGCCATCACCGGCCGCTTCTTCCACCAATGTCTCTTCTTGAGGACACCTCTTGGTGGCCTCCTGGGTGACTCAGAAGCAGGTGAGAGTAGGTGAAGACTGCCCCGGCTCCTGCATCTTCAGGCAGTGCCCCCCGGGGGACAGAATGCCCTTGCAGCATTGATGGGGAGCCACAAAGCACACCCAGTCCTGAGGCTCCCCAAACTCCTGGTCAGAACCAGTGTCCTTGTCCCTGTACCTGTCTTTAGGTTTTCTGTTGGTTTGACTCAAGGTAGAGGCTTGGGGCCAGGGCTGGGTTTGTCGGTGTCCCCAGAAATGAGCCAAATTTGCCCCCACACCCTGGCCTTGCAAGATCCTGGGCAAAGGAGAGGACCCTGGCTTCCCTAAGAGGGACCCCCCCCAAAAAAAAAAAAAAACAACATGCCAGAGTCTCTTGTCCCATCCTCTTCCCTGTCGGCATCTGGGTAGGGACATTCTCCTCCCAACTGAAGTCCACAGCAGTCAAATACATCCAGTGAAGACACCAATAACATTAGCAAAGTTAATTTAAAAACAGAATATATATATTTTATATATATAAAATATATATATTTATTTTCATATATATATAATATATATATATATATATATATATATATATAAATGTATGTATGTGGGTGGGTGTGTCTACAGGAATCCCAGAAATAAAACTCTCTAATCTTCCGGGCTCGGTGATTTAGCAGCAAGAAAAATAAAATGACAAATCCAATTCCAAGTGGGACCGTGCTTGGTCACCCGCCCGGGAATGCTTCTGCCGGAGTCTCACCCTCCGGACCCAAAGTGCTCTGCGCAGAGTCCCCTCTTCCTTCATTTCAGGTTTCTGGATAAAGGACTTCTGTTGATGGCGACGGTGTGGTGGCGGCGTGGTTAGTCTCAGTCATTCTGTATCAGTCTTTGTTGGTGAGAGGTCGGGTTCCCGAAACTCTGAGGCAGGTTCCTTCCTCCAGCCTGGCTCACCGCCTTGGCTTGTCACATCTAAGGGAAATAGCAAGACAAAGACTAGGTTAGGCCAGGAGGGGAGGCCTGGGATGAGGCAAGCAGCTTCCCCGTTCCTGGGAGCCCTTGGGTCCCTGTGTTGTCGTAGGAGCTGATGACAGGGAACCTGCAGTCCTGGGACAGGAAGCCTCCATGGGAGGGAGACACCCAGCCCCACCCTCGAGAAGCCCTAGTCCAAGCAGCAGCCATGCTCAAGACAAAGACATGGAAACACCGCACAAAACAACAAATGAGCAAGTACCAACAGACAGCCCCGCTTGACATTTCTTTCTTTCTTTCTTTCTTTTTTGGCACTGGGGATTGAACCCAGGGCACTTTACCACTAAACTACATTCCCAGCCCTCTTAAATCTTTTATTTTGAGACAGGGTCTTCCTAAATTGCTGAGGCTGGCCTCAAACTTGTAATCCTCCTCCTGCCTCAGCCTCCCATGTCACTGGGATTACAGGTGAACACCAGGCTCTACTTGGCACTTCTAGAGCCGATGGGTGACCAAGTTGGGCAAAGTTAGCCAGGAGGACGTTTGTGCAGGAGATTTTTCAGTTCAGTCTCTTAGGGCTAGTTTGGGGCACAAGAATACCTAGAGCCAGGGAACCAAAGTGGCCAGAGAAAGGGAGCCTGCTCTGGGGACAGGAAGTCCCCAAGGGAGGGGAGTGGAAGGGCATGGGGCCCTAGGAAGCCAGGGAAACCCCTCCGACCCCATGCCCTGTCCCGGCCTGGGCTGCAGGCCTCTTCTCTCTGGAGCTGCAGGCCTAGGTGCGGGCTGCTTGTCCTTTCCAACAGGCTGAACAGAGACAGCTCTGTGGCTTTGCTTTTCTCACTGAAGCAGAGGGGACCACCAAGAACTTTCTCATCGTGTCTCTGCCCTGCCTTGTCTTTTACTCTCCTCCCTGGGTGAAGAAGACAGAACACACGCTGCCCTGAAAAAGCCCCAGTAGGGCTTAGGTCAAGTCCTAAGCCTCCAACCTTGCGAACCGAACTTCCCAGACACAGCCAGCTTGGGCATGGGGTAAGGTCACCTCACATATCTCCCTCCCAGACAATTCCTCTGCAGAGGAATCACCAGGAAAACCCCCAAATGCCAAGTTCCTTATCTTCCTCAAGGCCTCCTGAAGAACTGAACCCCCTCATCCAGAGCCCCCATCCAGCACTAATATACTCTTCCTGCTTTCACACAGCACCGAGACACATGGAACTCCTGCCACGAAGGCCTGGTCCCCAGCACTGCCTGAGTACCCACCAGTCACAGAAGAGACTGGAGAAGGAGCAGCGTACACTCCAAGGAGCCTCTGGACCAGCTGGGGAGTCTGGCCCCACCTAGGTCACCCCCCCAAAAAGCCCCCTAATCCCAGACCACTTGGGCATAAAGAACTCCAGCCCAGACATCAGACCGCCAGCCGTCCCTGTGCTCCTGACTTCGCCACTGCTGAACTTGGCCAGGTCACAGTCACTCATGCACTGCATGCTTCCTTAGTCCCCACCATGGACTTAGTCCCCACATGTGTCCCAGGAAGATGTGGACACATATTGGGCCACAGGGCCCCAGACACCTGGGGATACCCCATGCTTCAGGAGTTCAGACTCATGTGAGGAGAGTGAGCACGGCCCCTCCCTCCACCCTTCCCAGGAGCAGTTAGAAATACGTAGGCTGTTTAGGGTCCTCGTGAGTGGTGCAGGATTAAAGCATCCTTGGATCCTAAATCTCCTGCACTGCGTAAGAACTGCAGCATCCTAAACCACAACAGATCCCTCCAGGGGCCCCAGTCTGAGCGGGAGAATCAATCCTGGCCCCATGGAGACACACTGGGGGAGAGAAGCTAGCCGTGATGACTGGACCGTCAAGGCCCCACAACAATGCCTACACTTGGTCGCCATCGTTCCACACCTGGAAGGGCTCTCTGTGTCTCGGCATTAGCACAACCTCAGCACCGACGGCCAAAACAAGCAGCAGGACCACAGGACACAACACACAGCTTGCGTCCACATCACCACGTCAAGCCACACCAGCCTACCCGTTCAGGCAGCCAGGGCAACCTCCAAGCAGGCCCCGCCCGGCAGGCCCCGCGTCCTTGGCCCCACGGGTCCTTGACAGCAGAGGAGGCAGCAGTCGCCAGGCAGGCAGCTAGAAGCCCAGCCAGCATCTGGCCCCTCTCAAGCTCACGCGCTCGCTCTGTCTCTCTCTCTCTCCCCATGTCTGCGATGTGATGTCCCTCTCTGACTCGCTCGCTCACCCTCTGGGAACCAACCTGCAAGTACGTTCGTTTAACTCAAGCTGCCTCGCCTTGCAACGCGAGTCTGTGTTTTTGCAGGAACATTTACACGTCTGCGGATCTTGTACAAACAAATGTTTTCTCCTCTCTGAGCAAGGCCCACAGGGACTGCAAAAAGGCAAAAGGAAAGACATCTAAGCTAGAGCATCAGCAGAGAGAGAGAAAAAAACCCATGCAACACCCCCTGTCACGTCCGCAGCAGCACCCCTCCCGGCTCGCCGGCCCCGCGTCCTTCCACGTCCTGGAAGGATCTGAGCACTGCAGCAAAGACAGAGAGAGCGGCGGAAAGAGGCAGCACTGGCTAGGACGCCCGCCTGCAGGAAGAGGAGGGCACAGGCCGGCAGAAAGTGCAGGGAGAGGGCTGCCATATGGGGCGGGGCTGTGTCCCTGGAAGATGTGGACACGTATTGGGCCACAGGGCCCCAGCTGCAGCTGCCCCCCGCAAAACACACCTTGACCCTTCACCTGCTAAAGACAGTGGGCAAGGGCTCAGACCCAGGCTTTTCCAAAGGTGGCTTGAATATAGGGCATGACGGGAAGTCAAGTTCAGAGGCAATGTCCAGGGGCTAGGCCACCATCAGCTACAGGGCCCACCACAGCCTCCAACCCAGAGGAAGTGGCCCTACAGGGAGACTTCCACATGTGGGTACCATGGGTTGGGCTAGAATTGAGGCCCCAAGTCCCTGAGAAACCAAGGTACTTCTCCCAGACCAGAAGGGGCCACCATATGGTGCCTGACCCTCCTGAGCTCCTCCTTCAGCCCCCAACAAGCCACTTTCTGCCATCGCACCCCCTCCTCACATCGTCTCTGCCCTCCCCACCACCCTCAGCTTGCAGACATGTTCAGAAGCCTAGAGCAGTGGAAACCAGTTGGGTGAGCAGGCCCCAGTGCCCAGCCCCTGTGCCAACATGGGTCCACCACCAGTGCCCCGTGGGTGAGAGAAAGTCGGTGCCCAGCCAAGCCAGAGGCCCCTCCGTGAATCCTCCAGGCCCACTTGGCCAACCCCCCACCCCATCCCTGGACCAGCAACACCACCACAAAGTCTACCCGTTGGTGCCAATTAGTGGAATGAGAGTGAGAGAGAGACACTGGGTCTGGGAGGGAGGGGCAAGAGCCAGGGAGGGGCGAAGGGACGAAAGCAGGGTTAGGGGTTACTGCAGGCAGGGGTTTGATTGGGGGCCAGGGGACTCCAGGGAGTTAGCAGCGGGCACCAACGTACACGCTCCAGGGCTTATACCGGGATTTCTTGCGCTTTCGTTTTTGCCCCTTTCCCTTTCCTGGAACTGATTTTCTGGAAAATAAAAAAACAGAGACAGACCAGAGAAAGAGCGAGGGGGGAGGGGAGAGCAAAGGAAGCAGTGAGGGGATCACGGATGGGAAGGAGCGAGACAAAGCCAAACAGGCCCGCTCTCGGAAGCAGGCGGCCAAGGAGGCATGCGACCTCAGGAAGGTGTGTAAGTGGCACTCCTATTTAGGGCCGCTTCCCCCATGGCTCTTYCTCCTCACTCTGCCCACGCTGGGGTGGCAATCTCAGCCCCTGGCAAGGCATGGGGTAGGGAGCAGAGACTGGAGGGCACAGGATCCAGATATCTACAGGATCATAGGGCTCCTGGTCCCAGGCAGGGCATCTGGCCCTGAGGGCAGGCTCTCAGCTGCCCTGTACAAGTCTGATCCTGAAGGTCAGGCAGGGTATAAGAGCCAGGCCAGAGTTTGAGAGAAGGTCAGATTCCTGACCTGATGCAGAGTGAGGGGAAGGCCGTGTCCAGCACCGCCTGCCTTCCTCCCCAAATACAATAGCAAGGGGGTCTCTCCAGGGGCTGTGCTTCTGGGAATCCTAGCAGGTGGCGGGCGGGGACATTACCTTAGGAGCTGGCACAAAATTCAGAGCAGCTCATGAAAGGCAATAGCCCGCTCAGTAACCTGGGCTGGGAGTGGGGCTGGGTGTCTGAAGAGGGGGCAGGAGGTGGCAGGGTCAGCGGGCAGGGAAGGGAGGCTGGGGGAGGGGCCTAGCAGTGCTTGGCAGGGAGTTCTCTCCCCAGCTGCACCATCTCGCCAGACTCTTCCGAGCCCAGGCGAGCCCCGGCTCTCCCTGTGGGCAAAGCAGGCGTTTGGGGAACGGGGACAGGCTACAGCTTGCCCCCCTCAAGGGAGCCAGCACTCTCCACTCCTGCTAACCCCAGAGAAAACACTCAGCATGTCTATCACAGCAGGGAGAAGGGAGGGGCAGAAGGGATGGAGGAGAGGGCGAGTCTGTTCCCCTTGGGAGAAAGCACTAGAAGAATGGAAGAACGGTCTGCAAGCTCGCTCCGTGCTCTCACTCCCTCTCCCTGAGCCTCTTCTCCCAAATCATTCTAGTGCAGCTGGGGACTTAGGGAAGAGGCAAGGGGTCAAGGCTTAGGAGAATTCCTGTCTGTCCCAGAGTGGCAGGGCAGACAGGAAGGTGCGGGTCAGGGCATGGGTGCTCTCTCTCAGTCTCTCCTCCCTGCATGCTCATTCCAGTCAATGCCCACTGCCCTCCTCCAAAAGCTCACTGCTCCCAGACTTTGCCCCCCAACCCCATCCTAACCCAACCCTCCATACTGGGCCTCAGAAAATGGCTAACATGGCACTTTTCCTGCCCAGCCAAGAGGGCTTGTGTCTGCTGCCAGCCCCACTCCTGCAGGAAGGCATGTACTATGAAACCCCCCAGTGGCCCCAAATCCAACTGCACTGCCACAATAGCCACCAAAAGAAACTGCTGCCTCTGACACACAAAAGCTGGCCTGTCACCCACTCTCTCCCCTACTATGGATCCCAGGCAAGCCAGGAAGCCAGCATCCACACTGGCCTGAGACACCGAATCAGCAAGGACTACCCAGGAGAGACCTGGACACCTGACAACACTGGTTTTGTTTTTTTGTTGTTATTGTTGTTTGTTTGTTTTTTTGTTTTGTTTTGTTTTTTTTTTCAAAAGAAACATCAAGTTCCAGGCTGGGTTTTCTCACTAACCCTGGAGCCACAAGCCTGGAACTGGCTCCATGTCCCTGCTTCCACCACAAGACCCCCAAGAAACGAACTCCCTGACCAGGGGAGGCCATCAGAGCCCCCAACTGAGGAAACCAGAAGCCCCAAACCAAGACAACCGGCCAAAGAGCAGGAGAAGTGCTAAAGTCAAAACCACTTACTTTTCTTGCCTTGCTTTATCTTTCTTTGGTCTGCAATGGGAAGAGAAAGAGAAAAAGAAAACACAAAAACAGAAGAGTTACAATGGTGCGAATAACAGTAGAGATTATAGTAGTAAAAACTTAACATTTATGATACAGCAACCGTGTTTTAATCCCTTCACATGTAATAACTCCTTTAATCCTTGCAACAACCCTAGGAGGTACGTTCAATTATGGTGCTCATTTTACAGATGTGGAAACTGAGGCACGCCGAAGTGAAATACCCAAGGTCACACATCTGGAAGGTGGACATGGGTTAACAAGTACAATGTGCTTCACTCCGGTGGGGACCATGGCTGTTTGCTGAATAAATTAATGAATGAATGGGCACCTTGGTCCTCACCTGCATTCACACTTGCTGTGCTGTAGGAAGCTCATCTCTCCTATGTGTTGGCCTTGGTGAGGTTTGATCCGCATGATCTAGAGGGGAAGGAAGCAGATCACAGAGGTTAGTGACCCAGCCAGCCATACCCAGAGGGGCACCCCAGGGCTCCTGCCACTTAGCACCCAGGGGCTCTACAGAGCAGGGATGGGTGGTGGAGGCAGGGGGACCAAAGGCTCTAGTAGAAAAGAGCCTCCGGCCACCCCAACTCTCCCAACCCTGCTGGCCTCAAGGAGCCTCTCTTCCTCTTGAGGGCAGACGTGGCTGCAAGGGTTGGCTAGGCTGGGAATTCGGGTCCTGGGTTCTTATAGGTTCCCATCCTCTCTCCTCCTTCTTCCCTTCTAGGCCTCACCCTGATGCACCCCTAGCAGCTCCCTGAGAGCCACCTACCCCCAGTGTCTGAGTTCCCTCCCACTCGCAACCCAAAGGTACCAAGAGGTACACAAAGACCACCTTTTAACTCTTCACAGACCAGGTTCACCCAGCTCCCCAACAAGGTCCCCAAGGAAGGAGGGCCCCCAGGCTCTCTCCAAGGAATAAAGAGAAGGGCTCTTATCAAAGGCAGCAGCCCCCTCCTGAGCCTTGGGAGCAAAGGCAGAGGAGATGGTGGGAGTTTGGGGATTTGGGCTGGGAACCGAGGTAGATAAGACCCCACCACACCACACCTCCCCACCCCAACCCCAACTCAGGGGCAGGAGCCGGACAAGGCAAGTCTAGTTCCTCCTACTACAAGCTTCCAAGGAAAAGGCCCAAACCACCTGTTGCAAAAAGTAAGCCCCCGCCTCCTCCCCTCCCCCACCCCCACAGAGGCTCACCTGCATAGTGATGTTGAACTCCTGGGTGGGCACGCACTCCAGGCCCTCATCATTACAGCAGCCCCCGCACCGCATCAGGGGCACACAGGATGGCTTGAAAATGAACTCGATCTCATCTGGATACTCCTGGAAGATGTCCACCAGGGTCTCTATTGGACGGCAGTAGCTGCGCTGGTAGACATCCAGGAACTTCACCACTGCATGGGATGGAGTGACACGTGAGCCCAGCAGGTGACTCGCCCAGCTCTGTAAGCCTCTCCTTGGGGCTTCCATGAGAGGTATTCACTATCAGGAAAGTCCTTCCAAAATCTAACTTAGATCCCTTCTCCTGAGTTGAAGCCCTTCCCTAAGCTGCCCACCATCACTAGTGAAGTTTGTTTTCATTCTACGGATTACATGAGCTTTCGAGTTCCAGGGCAGATGGCCTGCCACATCGAAATCCCTGCCTCACCGTGACAGCCAAGCAAATTCCTGAGCCAATGTTAATGCCAGAGGACAGTGTGAGTGTGGGTACACCTTTTGGGGGTGTGCTAAGCTTCACCTGAGAGGACGAACAGCCGGCTTTGCCAAGCTGCTCTCCATTTTCCTATATCCTCCCGACAGATAGGGCCATAACAGACAACCCTAACCATTTACTCACTCCTTGTCGGGCACTCAGCACAGGGATCATCCATAGCTATCTAAACTGTGCTCCCCTATGATATTACTACTACGGGGGCCTCATCTTACAAATGGAGAGCTGGAGGCTCAGAGAGGCTATGTAACCTGCCACAAGGCCACACCRCTAATTAACAGGACAGTTAGAATGGGCCCCAGAGCCTTCCCAAGCCTATGGCATGCAAAAGAGAAGCTTCTGAAAGCACCTAGCCAGCTGCTGGTCCCCCCCAAGAAATGGACTGAGAAAGTACCAGCAGGTGGCAGTGGGCCGGCACGGTGTGCCAGCCACTACTGACCCCGCCCAAGAGGGCAAACTGCTTGCATCATGGAAAAAGCGGTGCTGCCACAGCCACGGAGCATTTCTAGATGCTGATCTGGAGGGAGACCAGGATAAAGACAGTTTCCCAGGCTGACCACAGAGCCTGGGGTGCACTGGAGCATGAAGGGGTAATTCTGGGCCATAGGGGCGGGGCCCTTGAGAATAAATAAATGCAGGACTCCCGGCATGACTACTTCAAACTGTGGCCCAGCCTGCCACTCCCCATCACARTTCCACTGCCACCACATAGCAAGCCTGCCCGCGCAATGAGCTCCCCTACACGGGAAGGAAGAAGTAATACCAGCCAGCAAGGAGGCTTAGGCTTTGGCCATGACTTGAGGTGACCTTGGGCCTGTCCCTCCCCTCTCTGGGCCTCCAACTCTGCTCAACTGTGTAAGTGGGTTGGCCCGATCTCTAAAGACACTGAAACAGAGGCTGAAATGTGGGGAGTTGGCTTCCCATTTCCAGCACTGAGAACAACTACTCTTTTCTCATTCTGAGTGGAACAAAGTTTGGAACTTCACCAAGGCTTCTTAAGTGCACACCCCAATACACTACTGCCCCCCACCCAGGGACTAGAGCAGCCCCCCRAACACACACATACCTCTAAGGCTTGTTATTTATTTTTTTTTCCAGAAGGGTAAAGGAAAATGAGACCCAGGGGTATGTACACTGTAAGTTGGTTGGGGAGAACTTGGAGTATTGAGGAGAAGGTGGGGAGAAGGCCAGGGATATCAAAAGTGAAAGAACAGTGGGGGAGGGGGACCAAGACAGCCTCCTACCTTCCCTGGGATCTCTACTCATATCCAGACAGAATTCTTCTCTGTCCCCAAAGGATTAAGGGAAAGCATGGTCAAAAGAGAGTAAATGAAACCAGGGGTCTGAAAAAGTCATTTTTTAAGCCAAGTCTATACTGAAGAAGATGACTAATCTAGAATTTGTTAACTAATCCTTCATCATGCATGGGACAGAGGTGGCCCAGGCCTGGAGCCCCACCCAGGAGGAGACAGCAGACAGGTCTGGCCTGGGCAGTGGTGCTGATAGCTAAGGTACAGACCCAGGCTRGGCATGCCTTTGAACAGCTTCTCTTTATAATCCCCAAGGCCCATGCAYAGGAGGTGAGAGGGCAGCTCCAGCACCCCTGCAGCCCAGTCCCTGCTGCAGGGAAGGCTGTCCTCTTTTGTCTGGGGTGTATGCACATGCTCTCCAACACCAGTCTTTCGTGGTTTTCCTTATTTATGGCAGACAACCTTTTCTCTAACAAACAAAGACCATTTGTCTTGCCTCTCCCAGACCACAGAGACCACTAGGAAACTAAAGGGGGTGGGTGGTGCACTGGGAGTGGGGGCCTGTCAGTGGCACAGGACAGGGAGTGGCAGAAAGCCAGTCCCTGGGCCAAAGGAAAGGGCTCCTGGGGTTGGGAAGGAGGAGGCAGAACCGGCTGGGCATCACCACCCCTGGCGGCCACTGCAGCCACACTGGATTTGAGTCACAGAAACTCGCCCAGGAAGAAGACCCCAGGGCCTTCCCTCCTCAGAGGAGGGGAGCATGGGGAGTGGCATCAGGCTGGAGCAGAGGCCACACTCAGTGGTGGGGAGAGCCAGGGCGTCCCCAGAGAAATGGGAGGCTCCCCGTACTCCAAACCACAGTGGAACAAAAGGCAGGCAGACTCAGGGTTGGGCAGGGGGGCGGGGCGCCTGGGAGTTTCAGCCAGCCCTCTGCTGGCCTGGCAGGGAAGTTCACAGCACCCATACAGACCAGCAGGGCTTTCTCCACCCCTGAAGGAATGCCAACGGCAGGAGGGTAGCAGGGTGTCTATTAGCCTAGGCCCCTGGAACCTCCAGCTCACACAGGAAGGGCCACAGCCCCCACAAATGGGCCCATGGCTGGGTAGGAAGTGACATGGAACATCCATCCTCCCCAGGAAAGGGGGGCACAAGGGACACCTCCCTTGATATCAGGAATCCCCAAACGGGCACTACCTTCCTGGTCTGTGCTTACAGCTCCTTCTGCAAATGAAATTTTACTAGAAGGAGCTGAAGACAAAAGCAACAAGTCTGACTTCCAGCACAGACCTGAACAGAGAAGGGACCTTAAGAAACCGAAGGGCTAACCTCATGGTACCCACCTCTGTCTTGCTTCTCATATTCCCGCACCCCTCCCCCCCCCAAGTCTGAAAAGGAGGATTTGGACCTGCCCCTGCCTCCCGGGGACCCCATCCAAAAGCCAGAGGGACTCACCTTCATGGGGTTTCTGCTCTCCTTCTGCCATCGGTGCAGCCTGGGACCACTGAGAACAACACAAAACAGCAAGGCATTGGCATGGGCATAGGGAGGGGCAGGGGTGCAAAGGCCCAGCCACGGGGCCCCTCCCCCTCCCTTGCTTTCCTCCCAGTCCACAGCCTCTATCTTCTCCAAAGCTTCTGGGTGGAACAGGAATAGCTGGGGTCCCCACAGATCCAGAGCATGCCCACCACCCCTGGACTGCTCCAATTCTAAACCCATGTAAGTTAAAGACTAACCAGATGTTGGGGGCTGGGAAGCTCACAATGCAGGAAGAAAACACCAAAATCCTGTGCTGTTCAGGCCTCTGTCCTTTCCCCACAGGGCCCTCRCCTCACTCTAGCTGCCCCCGATTCCCTGGTCCAAAGCCATGGGTAAGTATTAAGGTCAAATAGGAGGACAAATTTGGACTGGGGCAGGAAGGAAAGACTGGGGGCGAGAAAAACAACATGGTGACCTTCTCCTGCTGACATGACAAATACCAGGGTGAGCTGGTGTTGGAGAGGGAGGGGGGTGCAGAGGACCGAAGGGCACCAACCACCCTCCCCCAGCCAAACTCTTCTAGTCCTCAGGAAGATTCAGTATACCCAYAGGTTGCTTAGAGTAGAAGACTGAGAGGAAGTCTTGCAGGGGAGAAAGAGACCCATTTCCTTTCCGGCATCAGTCTCTCCAGAGCTGCATGTACTTCCAAAGCCCCACTAGCTTCCCACTCCCACCTACTCTCCAGGCCCCTCTGGCCTGGGTGCCTTCCTCAAATGCATCCAGGGAAGCCTTTTCTTCCTTAGCACTCCCAGGGGGTGCCTGGCTCTAACCCAGCCTAAGACCTCCTTGCACCCCCCACTCAAGAAGCTGTGAAGGTCAACAAGCCAGACAGTAGACCTGACAGCAGCTGCAGGGGAGGCTKCTAGTCCTTCCTGAGGTCTCCAGTGCCTGACAACTCCTCACCCACCTGCCTGCTCCTCCTGTAGAGCAGGTCCCCAGCAGCAGAGCTGTACTCAAGCCAGCTTGAAACTCCAGACCCCTCTGGGAGGGAATAACTAACTTCTTCCCTCTCTCTCTCTCTCTCTCTCTCTCTCTCTCTCTCTCTCACACACTCTCACACACACACACACACACACACACACACACACACACATCTCCAATGTACCCTAACCCAGGTTCCCCACACTTTCCTTCAGGGCCAAGGTCAGAGGAAGCCCCTCTCAAAGGCAGATAACAGTTTCCAGGCTCCCAGCTGGATAGCCTCTCACTGCAACCCCTTCAAGGACCCCCCTAGATTCTGAACCACAGCCCCCTTAAAACCTCTGACATTCTCCCTAAGCTCTTGACTCCTCCTGAACCCCAATAATGAAAAGGAACAGAAACTTTAAACCCCCTCCAAGGCCAGGGGGCACAAGAGGGGAGGTTCTAGGCAGGGAGGGGCCAGGTGCCCTTCTCTGGGGGCCTCTGAAGGTCACTCTGTGGCCAGGCAGTCACTCCTCCCCCTCCTCCCCACTTGGAGGCCTGGAGCCAAGGCCTTTGTGCCAGGGTTTGAGGAACTCTGGGTGATGACAGGGACCCCTGCCCATTTCCTTCCTTCTGCCACCTCTCCAAGGGGACACTCTCTGGCTGAGTGAAGGCGGAAGGGAGGAGCTGAAAAGGACCCCTTAAGTGGTTTTGAGAAGCAAATTGGGTGGGCAAATTTGGAGTTCCAAAAAACCACCTGCTCC